TTTTACTGAATATGCTCTTCAATGAATTTGGACGGTAAATAAAATTGACGCCGCTATATCGTTATCATATCATATGCTAACGGCTATATTAAATAAATATATATCTAGCTACGCAGTAGGTGTGCTTGGTGCTGATAACAAATGTACTTGYGTTGATAAGAATATGTTATGTTSATRCTTGTGACTAAAAAAATGTTTGTTAAAAGGRAAAATAAATGTCATTTATGCCAACACATGCATGAGAGARGATATTTTTCCTCCAGATCCATCCMGAAATAGTTAGTCCAAAAAGCAAAATTTTATTCCCCAGACCTTTAGATTATCCCTTTTTATCTCTGTTTTAAAAACGACCAACAAACAGATAATTTAAGGTGCTATAATTTGGAACTTTTAAAGTTGGTATTATCGTCTGGTACTATTAGTGCCAAAACCGCGTTTATACCGGTAAATCGGAAAACTCTAGTAGGACCAAATGTGTATGGTTGGAAAGTAAGAAAACGAATAAGGTCTGAGGGGAATAATTGTTTTAGTATAATTTTAGACTTGAATAATATCAGAGAAAAGTCGAAATTCAGGATTAAAAAGAAAAACGTTTTAGTATTACTTCCGTTCCGGGAAAATTTGAAAACCCTCATAATCACCGTTCGCTCGACCAATCACAGCTCGAGAAACTCTATTTCAAGACTAAAATTATACTAACATTAATTTTGAGCATTTCCAGTAAATGCACAAGAGGATTATCCATGTATATATTGTAAATATAAGTGTTTACCTACCTTATCTTAAATAAAGTTTTACGATCGGCTGAATTAAAGATGTTGAATTTATCGAAATTGATAATAGCCGGAGGAGGACGTGCAGGGGAGGGGTAGTAGATAAACTAATCGGGCGGGATGAGGGATCTAGGGGTGGCCAGGGGTGAAGACAAAACGATAAAAGACATTTCTAATATTCCAGTTTCGAGTTCTCTGTTGCTCAGGGTTAACGTTAGACTCGACTTTGCGCAGAATATTCATGTGTTCCAGTGAAAGTCTGTGGAATTTCAAGTGTTTGTATTGATGCCTTGTGTATTGATGCCTTGTGCATTCTTTATTACGAGGATAAGCTTTAGTAAACGAGTTTGCAATCAAGAAACACAGCGGTATTGATTTGGAACTCAAAAAAAGTTATTGCTACAGCTGATAATAAAGGTTGACATATTTTCTCTTTTTCAAAACTCCGCTTTACACTGTAATTTTTTAAGCAAATATATTCTCTTGCCTCCAGTCTTATTGTGTATATCACGTAAACGCTCTTTTGGACACAGGGAACCCGGCTATATATATTTTTTGTAATTGGAAACCGATCACAACACAGGAAACCCACAAATAGCAAAGTTACTTTTCTAAAAGAAGCAAAAAAAAATATAGTCGGGTTCCCTGTGTTTTGGACAACATTTTAAAAGACTTTGTGGCAAGGAATTTCGCGCCTTAGTGACGTCATCATCGCCGCGCTTGCACATTTTGAATGATGACAAGATGGACGAAGCTGTTTTCAAAAACTCTTCAAAACACGACGTTTAAGTCCAGGTAAGACTTAAAACCATTACGCCTTCAACGAGAAACCTTATTAGTTTTGTTTTTYAACCACTTTATTATAYATTCCATGTRATTTATGGCATAAAAAGTCCAGAAATCATCCTTACGTTATTTCAGTAGATCGAGTGCAGCTCCGATTTGAAGAGAGTTCTTGTGAATGACATAATCTTTTCAGTTCAGTTCAGGTTACTTTAGTTTATTTATTTAATTTATTTATTAGCTTTACGACCTAAGTCTCGAGTAAACATGCATGATATTGGAAGAAAATGAAATTTATACAGACTATGGGAAAATTCTAAATAAATATGTAAGCTTATAATATACACGTAAATCATATATGGAGCTAACTAAAAGGTTCAATTAAAATCGAGTGAAAATCGCCTTTTTTTAAATTCAAGGTAAAGATAATGTCCTCCATAAAACGAGCGAGTGAAAAAATCCATAACAAGTCGCTAGAATATTTTTTTTGCTCATGCCTTTGTTTTGCTTTATATCCTATTCTATGTCGTCACGCAACGCTCACTCCTACTTAGGGGAGTGAGCGTTGCGTGACGGCACTAATAATGGCTGTGTAGGAGACTAATAAAACCCTTGGGCCTAGGTTCTCAGTATTTAACTCTAACATAATTTTTTTCGACATGTCTCCTTGACCACACAGATGAATATATACGCAGTTAATGGAGGGTATTAAACTGGAAGTGGGGGGTGGGGGTTGCTACACTTGTTTGGAGATACCAGGGAAATGAAGTGTGCAGGGGGAGTCAAGAGGACTTGTAGCTCTCTCATTGGCTAAAGTACTTCAGCCCCTTCTAACTCTGCAGCTTGAGATAAATTGAACCAAGTACTTGGAAGTAGAGGTATTCATACAGACTAAGTCTAAGATTGATCAAATTCAAATATAGAAAATAAGAATAAGGATGCGAGTAGGAATGAGATTGAAAATAGCACTGAGAAAATAAAGGGATAACATGAGAATGTGAATGAGAAAGAGAATTAGAATATGTATAAAAAGGAAAGGGATTGTGAATGAGACTGAAAATGAGGATATTACTGTGAAATAAAGGTATGAGAATAAAAATAGGAATRAATGGAGGAATGTAAATAAGAATGATATTGATAATGAGTTAGGACAATCATAAGAAAATTCAAAAAGACCATAACAAATTAGAAAAAATCAAAACACTTTTCATTTATTTATAGTGTTTATTAGATTAATTTATAGATAATTGATTCTGTAGAACCAATTCATTACAGTTCAATAAGTTAAATGTTTTACTGAAATATGAAATTGGTTTCAGAATATTGCATACATTTTATGATAATGTTTTGCAGCGATTAAGACCAGCAGAAAGTTATAATATTTTGTGTCGATCAACAACACCTTTTTGAACTGTGTGATATTAGTGCAGGAGCAATTATTGATTTGGTCTGGTAAAGTTTAGAACACTTGACCATTGCAAAACTGTTTAAAGTTAAGACTCACAATAAAAAAATCTCTTTTGAATTTCATGTGTTTTTCCAAAAACTTACAGATATACTGTAGACTTCAAATTTCAAGTTTTTCATTAAGTTAAATATCATGAAATTTAATTAACATCTGAATGCAATATAAGTGCAGTGTATATTAATGTTTTTTTTTTAACTATATGATTATAGATAAATGCTCTGCTCTATTGATTGGTATAAATAAAAGTAACTTTGGTCATGGATTTATTAGGCATTATAGGTGAAAGCATTTTGTCAATATGATAAGACCTCATATTTAAATGAAGTCGAACGTTGTCCAACATATCATATCTTTTCTATGTTCAAGCCAAATTTTCATTTTCAAACGACAGTAAACAATTAAAACAATTGATAATATATTGATTAGAGTTTTAAATTCTGAGATATTCTAGCTGATTTGTCGTGCTTGTGGGACAAAATGTCTCCCTTTTTTTGCTTGATCTACTTTTATTGAGAGGTTTTTGGATGCATTTAATGTGGTGCATTCTGGTTTAGTATTGTTGCAAACATCTTTTGTTCCTCGTGCCTTACATGTATATGATTTTGTAGTCTAGGCAACAATGGCCCATTCTGAGATTCAGGCCTGAACAAAAGATACTAATGAATATAAATCTTGCAACCAATATGGGGGATGAATAGAATAACTACCCAATTTGGTAAGAAAAACTAGACAAGATTATAATACTTTTTAAATTAACTGAGGTTAACAAGTGGGAAGCCTTTTGCTATTGTGTTTTAAAAGCCTTATTTACCATTTTGATTATTTTTTCATTTCAATCTCTTCTGTACTTAGTAGTCTTGATTTCTGTTCCATATGTCTGTCATGATCTTTAACCAAACCTATTTCATCATTCCGTATATACTTATTTTCCTGGTCTTTCTGCGTTTCCTTTTTCTGTAAAACCAAAACAAATGTTCTTTTATTTTTTGAAAAATAAGACAGCCATTCAAACATTGTTACAGTTACATTGAGCTCCTTCCCTACCTCCCTTATCATAGAAACCTAAGGGAATACAAAGTGTCTGCATGTGATGAATAGTGAGAATGTTGTCCTCCAGGGGTGTAGCAAGGTCTCCATTATAGCAGGGTTATGTAACATTTTCCCACCAAATACACAGGAATCCTGCATGAATTAATTACATTTTGGTGCTGGAAGCAATTTTTTTGGGGGGTACAAGCCCCCTTGTGCCACTTTTCCTATTGCTAGTGTTGTCCTTTGACTAGTGTGACTACCATTTATCCCATTTAAATTCCAGCTTTTTCAGTTTTTTTTTATTGGAATAGGTTTTGTTTCTTGAATCTGACTCTCTTCTTAAAATTAGGTTTCCATTTTATGTATTACCAAGAAAAATCAAAAAGTTTTAGGTATTCCATATTGTTTCATGTCAGGAAAACAGAGAAGTTCTGGTGTACTTAGTGGTTCTCTAATGGTTTTCTCATGGTTTTCTCTTTTCTCTTGAATTCCTGTCAATTTGGTGGGGTTATGGTCCTGCCAAATTGCTCTTGCTGCTCCCCCTTCCACTTTATTCCCAGATTCTCACTAAGCCATAAATCAATATTAAGTTTGGTTCAGGGATAGGGCTTTGCACATGGTCTAAAACTGGTAAAACAGTACGCCAAAGCTGAACAGACCTATAACATAAAAGTACTTATAACTTACATAAGAATGAAAACCAAGATAATAGCCAAGATAATGAATACACCACAACAGACACCAACCACAATCCAGACCCAGGTCTTTGTGGTCTTAGGAGCTTCAGTTTGCTTATAGGGCCTTATGTAAGCCACTGTTCTGCCCTCCAAAGAATCCTCAACCTTTCCTTTGTTATCCTTGAGGATTTCTACCGCGACGTTAACTGGTACTGCCACTGTAGCCTCAATGACACCAGGAGGGTTTTGAACATAGAATACAATGATCAAATCTGCGCCATCTTGTTTTGGATATCCAGGCAACAGGTGAACTAGGTTTTCAGTGTACTCAGTGTACAAATCGTCTTCACCCACACCTCTGCAAAAAATAATAATATATTGAAATTATACAAAGATATAATGAAAAATAACGATAATATTGTTTAAAGTCGCAATTCTATAGCGTTTTGTACTATGGGATTTTTATGATATATAGTTTAGTTTACACAGCATCCACGTCAGTGACTCTCAAATGGTTTCCACTCTAGAGCATTCATAAACTTTAAGCGCACGTATGATCCAATCCAGTGATAGAATGCTTCGCAACATCTTACATCAGTGACTCTCAAATGGTTTCCACCCTAGACCAATCATGAACTTTAAGCTCACAACCAATCCAATCATATAGGTAAGAAGATAATTAATTAATTCAACTTCATTACGATATACTAAGCCCCTTCTATGAATGTTGTGAATCTACCGATTTTTCTCATGTCTTCAAAATTTCCCTCAGACAAAGTGGCTAAACAAGTGTACTATAATATAGCATTACCTTGTTCTTTCTTGGGTTTCCTTTGGAAGTCCGCATTTTTCTCGATTTATCTTGCAGTATGCAGAGACTAATGAAGCAACAGTTCTCTTGAATTCTTTATCTCTTGTAGCTTTCCACTGCAATGCAATTAGATCGATGGCAATTAAGAGTGGTGGAACCAATAACACGGGGAGAGTATGTTGCATAAGTAGCCATGATGGCGCTCAACCAGGTCAACCTGGCTCTATAGCAACAGGAACTAAGGGGAGTTGGAATCATGAATTGCAAAAGTTGGGTCCATTGAAAATATTACTAAGAGTTGTCTTACCTTATTCTTTGGCATGTTCTTGATTCGAATCTCCACACTTTGGTCCTCTTCTTCTAGGCTTGCATTTCGTGGCGTTGGTGCTTCAGACTCCACTTCCGTTTGGTTTCCAATATCTAAGAGCAACAATATTGATTATTAATTGCCCTAATATCTATGCATTTTATTCGGCTGGAGTGAACTCTTGTTAAGGAGGCTAAACAGCTCCTATTTCAGTTTAATCTCAAGATTGAGACAGATTTTGGCTCAGGTCAAATGCCAACCTTCACATGAGCCAAATCTAATTAAAACAATGGATAATAAGGCGGTCTTCTTTTATGTTATTAGGTTCGGCTCATTGCGATTGCTATTTAAGAACGTCCTTTCTTCCTTTAATACGGACATTAGGTAACTAGAAATGTATAACGGGATCCTCAATGTCTGGATAACGAAAGATGATGTCTTCCCATAAAGACGGGATATTCATTAATTTCACGCTATTCACGTTGATCAAGAGGACAAGAAGTAATACCAGTTTCCAGATCTCTCTCCTCTCATTAAAATGCAATTTTGAAACTTAAGGTTCAATGGACCTTTCTCACGATCAGACATATCAACTGGAGCATTGGATTTTCCCGCGTAGCCCCACATTCAAGCGCTTCAGGATGAGTTTACATGTATCAAGACAAATTCTTTTACTTCTCGTGGGAATGAGCATGGTGACGCATGATAAACGGCCTTGCCCTTGTTCTAGATTTCATAAGGTGCTGATGAAATTCGTTTTTACCTTTGCAAGAGCTACCAGACCAGTAAGAACCTTGTTCACATTCACACTTGTATCCACCGTCGATATTGATACATTGCTGGAAGGGGTCACTGCAATTGTAATTGCCTTGAGCACATTCGTTGATATCTAAAACAAACCACACAATGCTCTTTATTAAACAGCTCAACTTTTGGGTTGTGTGTAATTATGCTACTTAAAGGTAGAAAACTTGTGAAAAATGAAAGAAAAAGAATGAAATGGAAGTCTTCCATTTCACCTTACCTTCACAAGTATAGTTGTCTCCTTTGAGATTATATCCCTGTTTGCAGATACACTTAAATCCGCCGTCRGTGTTCTCACAGTTCTGAGTACAAGATTTCTCCAGGCATTCATCGATGTCTGTTCATGGGAGAAGGAAGGATGTTAGTGTTGCTAAGGGATGGTTGTTGATAGTGATGCAAAGTGAAAAAGATTGGTGATGACAACGATAATTGATGATGATTAATAAAGGTGATGATGTTTCTGCTGCTCATGGTGCTGATGATGATGATGGTGATGGCGATGATGAGGATGATCGTGATGATGATCAGATGTTATTGGTCATCGAGTTGGTGATGATGATCATGACGACGATAATGATGGCGATGATGAAGATGATCGTGATGATGATCAAATGTTGTTGGTGATGAAGATGTTGATAATGATGATGGTGGTGGTGATGAAGATGTTGATAATGATGATAGTGTGCAAGATGATGATGATGGTAATCAGATAATGATGATTATGGTACTGATGATGTTGTTCCAACCAATTGAAATGGTGCTCATTGTGGTGATATTGATAATGATGCCAATTCTTAGTGATGATGTCAATATATATTTGGATATTGACTTTAAAAAGTACCTTTGCAACTCTTTCCGTCGTCCTGTAGTTTGTATCCCTCGTTACAAGAGCATTTCTTTTGATTGTTTTCCATGTAACAGACATGCTGGCAGCCATTATCGCTTGCAGAACACGGAGACTTCGCTAAGGAAATCAAGAAAAAAACCAAAAAGGTGAGAATTTGTTTTTCAGTGTTACGCTTTATGTTTGTTTTTTCAGAGTGTAGACATAATAAGCCCACGAATGCATAGGAACAACATTTTATAGTCAGGTTGTAATTCTGGCTCCGATTTTCGGAAAAACACATGTTAGTTTGGAAGAAAGTTAAATCATTTCCATCATTCAGTCAGTTGATCAATTCTTTTCTTTCTCGCATTTTTGGATTTCATTTCTCATCCATCCATTCAATTTCTTTTGTGATACTTACGAACACATTTGCTTGGATCGGCTGGATCCACCTTGAAGGCAGGGTCACACGTGCAGATATAACTCCCAGGAGAATTGGTACATCTTTGCATGCATGTCCCTGGTCTTTGACATTCGTCGATGTCTAAAATAGGAGGGAAAAAGAAGATTGCACCATTACGTTTAGTTTTTTGTAATTCTTCTAGCTTGGGAACCTCAGAAGACTTTGGGATAAGGATAGGAGGAGAAAAAAGGATTTTGTTTGTGTGGAAAATGTAGTCAAATAGACGACTTGTACTAACAGGTCACGTGACCCAATCCCCCATAAAAATAGCAAATGAGTCAAAATGAACTCCAGAAATGTTAAGAGCACCTCCAATTTAGTACGAGGGCGAAGTCTCGGCTCGAAATGTTGACTATACAAGAAATGACATTAAATATAAAATCAAATGGGAACAGTGTTGCGTGGTAAGCGTTTGCCATCCAGCGCATTTTACCATACAAATCCTTATGAAACATTCAATTTCATATCTAGTGCCATTTCTCCTGTTTCGCTTATTATGAGCGGAAACTCCGCCTCCCTACTAATGCCGAGATGCTCTTTTCATTTCTGTTTTTTATTTTGGCTAAACTGCTTGTTTTAAGGGAGGTAGTCGTCTATTGAAACCATAGATAAAAACCGACATCCCAAAAGGAATCATTTTGACCTCAGCCAAGAAAGCGGCCATAGCGACATTCACACCAAAAATTTAGAAATGAGATTTTTAATTCCACGTGCTTATTGGTTTTAACAGAATCAAGGAATAATTAGAATCGAATTAGAATAATTTTGTTCTGACGTAACCGATGAAGACTTACCATCACAAWTTTTCCCGTCTTTGTTGAGTATGTATCCATCATTGCACTGACATAAGTATGAGCCCGGAGTATTTATGCACAGCTGTGAACACGTTATAGAGTCGAGGCATTCATCGATATCTGGGTAAAAGAATGTCAATAAGAAAGTTTAATGGAAAACTAAATACCAAATTGCACGGATAAAATGGAGTGATTCTTTGATTATCGAAGTTTGGTTAAGAATTGCGTTAGGCTCAAGTGAAACGTCGAACTTCACATCAGCCGAACCTAATTAAATCAATGGATAACAAGACGGTCGTCTTTGATGTCATTAGGTTCGGCTCATGTGAAGTTCAACGCTTGACCTTATTCTACTAAGAGTGCCCCGTCTACCTGTGCAATTGGCACCATTGCCCGAGTGTCCCGCGGGACAAGGCCCGCATGTATAGCCCTGCTTGCCGCTAGGGGGAGGAAGATCGGTACAAACAACTCCAGGATAGCAAGGTCCACTATTGAAATCACAGGCGTTGAGTTCGCTTTCACAAAACTTGCCAGAGTAACCACTTGCACATTTGCATAACATCACTAGGAACTTATCACCGTTGAGATTGTTTGGTTGAGAGCAGTTTGCCCCATTTTGGCATGCGCATAATGTTAGAGTCGGGTTCCAGATCAGTGATGCGCCTTTCGAGTCCCTTACCACGATGGTGAAATTAACCTAAGGAGTCAGGATTGTAGAGAGGAAAAATTATTGAGTAAAATAACATAGAAACTCCTATTTGAGTACTTTTAAAACAGCACTGACTCGAGTAGGTTTGATTCGTGTGTAGCTTTCTTCTTCATTGTATTGTTTGTGTTTTTTAGATAGTTAGAAATTAAATAGTTTAATTAAAATGTCATAGAGTGAAGTCACTAAACCCGTGAAATATACATTAGACTAAATAAATGCACATTGGTACTCCCTAATTCCATTGTTTWCTCTTGTGTCTATTTGGACACATGATCGACAAGAGTAATTGAAGGAAGACAAATTGACGGAAGATAGTTTTTTTCGGTWATCGCAAACATAGCCAAATCCACCGTACCTTATTTGTAGTGGATAATTTCAGTTTGATATTCAAGGTGTTTTCAGACGCTAAGGAGGTTTGTAATCCAGGAAAAGATGGCGGCAGGAAAACAACTGGATCTCCATTTGTGTCATTAGCAACCAGGTCAAATTCCTTCATCTCACCGAGTTTCAGCATGATCGTAGAGCTAGGATTCACCAATGTTGGAGGGAAATTTTCTGGAAGAAATTGTCAGAAACATTTATGGAATGAGTACATGAGTAAAAAGAAGAAAAAGGCAATCAAACAGTCGAAGTCGAGGGTCAGTCAGCTCAAGATCAGCTGTGAAATGACTCGAAACGTTGAAAAATAATCATGTCCTGAAGATTAAAAGTTCCATTTGGTTTTGAATTATAGATCCAGGTATAGGGATACACCCTTATTCATGTCTGAAATGGAATTTTCTTCGAACATGAAAATACGAAAGAAATCACAATTTTTCTCGATTGAATTTGTGGCATTTATTTCGTATTTCCATGTTAACCTCGCTTCCAAGACAGATTTAAGAAGGGTGCATTGTTGTGGAATCTTGTTTGTAGGTTTTTCTGAGATACCGAACATGGTGCTTTGTGGTATTGCCTTATGGGTTGTTGTTTGCACACAAGCTAGACCACAATGCACTTTTATTGTTGAATCCAACGAAAGCCTATGGCAAGTATTTGACCTTATTCGTCTTTGTGCATTGTTTTCTCATTTCAGATTACGTGCCATTCTCTTGAGAATAGGATTCTTTGTTTGAGTTGTATCCATATTCACATGTCTTCTCATGCACAAGAAATGAAACTCCATGTAGGGGATGACACGTGTTCAGTAATGGAAAACATTGCACCAAGATGAATGAGATCTATTTCGCACATTGACATGCACTCACCAAGTTGATTTGACTCATTAACAAGCTTCTGGGATGTCTTCAAGGTGGCTTGTCCAACAGAGGTATCTTTCGTAGCAGCAATATCGAATAGACAGGCCAGGTTAGAACCACATGTTTCTCTTGCTTTGGCTTCAAGTGCCGAGTCATTGAATTTGAGCTCATCAGCAAATAGGGGTGTGTATGAAGTGTTCTTGAACGTGTCTACACCTTGACCAGCCGCGTAGGTAAATAACGACTGATTAGCAGTGATTTGCCCTATTAATAATATAAGGTAAAAAGGTATCAATAAAGTACGAGATTTACTAGTACTCAGTGTCTTTTCCGAGCGTTAGAGTTTTTAAACTGTCAAGGCAATAAAATGTTAAAGCGTGACATTGTTGTGCTGAAATCAGTCAGAAAAAAACTAATCGAAATGAGAGGCCTTATAATTGTTTCATTTAGATCGAAAGGTTTAGATAACCTACGGTTTTATCGATACATACATTTAAGACCAAACTTATAATGGATGTCTCTGTCGCTAGAGGACACAGGAATAATCGTGCCATTAGGAAGAGTAAAGTCATCGTTAGAATCATCATTCCAGACCCCAAGAAGTCCTCTCGTCTTGTTCTTAAACGATTCAGGTGCCGCGAATACGATTGCCATCATCCCTTTAACTTGGCTGAACGAGACAGAGATGCCTGATGGGAAGGTGGCTGTTACTCCATCGTTCTCGTCGCGAGAGATGGACAAATTCCCGATATCTATTGAGCCATTTGTAATGCTGCTGTAATCAAAGGCTGACCCATCGATAAAAAAGTCTAGACCATCTACAAGAAAGATAAAGTACAGAATTAAGGCAAATTTCTCATTACTATGAAAGGATGATGAGGATGATGATGACAATGATGATATAATTTGTGTTGGAGTGTGCCTCTAATGCTAAAGCGACCGACACGAGTGAAAAAGATCTGCGCATGTTCTGAATCCGTATGGAAATTATTCAAATCATATGTAAATTTGATTTTCAAACATGCCTGATAAATTGAACTTTATAAAATGACTTAGCGTTCATGCTTGAAACTCAAAGCTAGTTCTTTCATATTATGTTTGTTAATACAGTATCGTAGTCTGACAAATGTATATTCGCGAAATGTTTTGTATACTTTGAGAAAACAAACATTTATTTTCTCACTCAAACTCTTCAACATTCTTAGAAAACGTGCTGAAATGAACGCATGCGCAAACGCTTTTCTCTAGTGTCAAAGCGACCAGGTTTTGCAAAAATAAATGATAAATTATACAGAGTCCGTAGGATGCACTCGGATCTCTTCGTGGAAAAGGCCTTCGGCAATCGGCCAAATATTGTTGGCCCATGCATTTGATACAACCATAGTCTTTGCGCTATAGAAATGATTAAATGATTATTATTATTATTATTATTACTTTTACCTCCTGAACTCTTCAATCGAGCTTCAATTTTACTTGTACTCTGCTCCTGAGCAACCGCTGCAGAAAAGACCGTTGCTATGTCTCCTAATGCTTTTGCAGTTCTGGCTTGCAGCTGGAAAAACCCGTTCTGAACATCAGCCATGATGTATTCGCCGAGACCGTTGAAAGTGTAGTTCTTGTTGTCCATTGTGACAATGTGAGGATCACCCCAGAACCATCCTGAAAGAAAAATAACAATAAATTTTGAGTTATGAATTTCGTTACAGTGACAGCTCACAATGAAAAGCAGACATTGTCTAGAAGTCATGTTGCTATCAACCAGAGAGTATTATATTGCTTAGTATCAATCAGCTGAATGAATCTCATTGGTAAACACAGCCCGTCATGTGCTATCAACCAGAGAGGTTTCTATTGCTTTGTTTCAATCAGCTGAATGAATGTTATTTAACAAAACCGCCTCGTGGATCCACACTACTTTGACAATGTGATGACGCAATTTATCGTCAATAAGAGGACAGACACATAAAAA